CCTGTTGGCCACAGAGTTCTCTTCTACTTTCTCGTGGTTGCATTGAGGAAGAAGCTCATGCACTCTTCCCTCGCAGGTTTCTCCCTACAAAGGGAAGTGAGTTTTTTCATTCTTAAAATAACAAGAGTCTGGGACCAGCAGGTGGTGTGGTGGTTAAGGTGCTGGACACTCCCACATGGCTGACCATGGTTTGAGTCCTGGGCCTGGAGGCTTGCTTTCTCCCTTTCTCTTTCTCTCTCTCTCTGTGTCTTTCTCTGGTCAAATTAAAATAAATGAATGAATAAATAAAATAAAATAAATACTTTAAAAAGACTATCTACTTCTTTAAAAAAATGATAAAATAACAAGAGTCTGACCTCACTTTTTCTTTTTTTGGAGAGATTTTCGCTATAGGGCGCGTGCGCTCGCCAGACAGACAGAGAGAGACAGAGAGACAGAAAGCGAGAAATCACCCTCCAGGGGGGGATGGTCACACCCCAGTCCCTTCTCCTCCATTCTCCTCTCGGGATCTTGGGCACGCACGCAAACGCGCCCGGTGTGAGTCTAAGCCACCGGGTCCAGGACACGAACCGCGGTCGACTATGTGGGAGTCCAGCGACATAGCCATTACGCTAACTGCTGGTTCCAAGTCTGACCTCACTTTGAAAGTGGTTTTTTTTAGAGGTTTGTGTTTTAGGGCCCCTGTGCTCACCAGAGAGTGAGAGAGATAGAGATGGAGACGGGGGAGGGAAAATGCGAAATCACCACCGGGGAGGATGGCCACACCACAATCCCCTCTCCATTCTCATCCTGGGACCTTGGGCATGCACACGCACCCAGTGTGAGTTTTAAGCCACTGGGTCTGAGACTCGAACAGCTGTCGGCCATATGGGAGTCCAGCGACATATCCATAGGTCATGTGCTGGCCCAGGTGTGTGTTTCTTCCCTCCAGAGATTTAAGGCTACTGCGGCTTTTCTCTGGTGGGGCTTCCTTCTCTTTGGCTCCATTGTAGGCTGTAGGCAATGCAGAACCCTAGACAGGGCTGACCAGTTCTCCCAGTGGGAGGTGACAGGCTTAGGCTGGGGGCAGTGTTTCCTGCTTACTGTAAGCCATATTGCCTGATTCCATTTTGTTGTTGTGGTTGTTGTTTGTTTTGTTTTGTTTTTGGAGAGGTTTTTGCTATAGAGTGCATGTGCTCGCCAGACAGACAGAGAGAGACAGAGAAACAGAAAGCGAGAAATCACCCCCTAGGGGGGATGGCCACGCCGCAATCCCTTCTCCTCCATTCTCCTCTCGGGATCTTGGGCACGCACACACACGCATCCGGTGTGAGTTTAAGCCCCCGGGTCCGGGACGCGAACCACTGTCAGTCGACTACATGGGAGTCCAGCGACATAGCCATTACGCTAACTGCTGGTCCCAGAATTATTTATTTTGCTGGAAACAGTAGAGGGCATAATGGTTATGTTGCTGGACTCCCATGAGGTTAACTGTGGTTTGAGTCCCAGACCCTGCAGTTTAAAACTCATACCACGTGCATGTATGTGCATGCCCCAGATCCCAAGAGCAGAGTGGAAGGGAAAGGACTGCTGTGTGGCCACACCCTCTGGGGGGGTGATTTCTTCCTTTCTGTCTCTCTTTGTCTCTGGCCAACACATGCGCCCTGTAGCAAAAGATCCCTCTAAAAAGAATGATTTATTTGGGGGCCAGCAGGTGGCGTAGCAGTTATGTCGCTGGACTCCCCCATAGCCTACTACAGTACGAGTCCTGGACCTGGTGGCTTGAAACTCACACTGAGCACATGTGCCTGCATGCCTAAGATCCTGGGAGGAGAATTGAAAAGAAGAGATTGCAGTGCTCCCCCCGGGGGGAGGGGTGATTTCTCACTTTCCTTCTCACTGTCTCTGTCTCTCTTTCTGGTGAGCACATGTGCCCTAAGGCAAGAACCTCTAAAAAAAAAAAAAAAAGAGAAAGAGACTATAGTTACTAAATAGAAACTGTTGCCCTTAGCTACAGCTACTTTGAGACCCAGTGCAGCCAGCATTTGGCTGTGAAAACTTAGCCACTGTGACTCCATCTTGGGCAGTTACTCTGTCTGTGTGCTCAATAGCCCTGTCTCCTGCCATGTTAGCCAGGGGTCATAAATTCTTTTGAGGCATGTGAAGGCGGTATACGTTGCACATTAACCGGACCATAGAGGACAAGCACAGGCTTCCTAGAGAGAATCACATGGGATTTCTTTTGGGCACCCCTCCCCTATCTACCCTAAGTAGGGTCTAACTCCTATCTCAAAATCATCCTCCAATGGGACATGATTGTGTCACAATGCTTTCTCCTGCATTTCTCCATCCTATCAGTATTTTTTCTTTTCTTTTTTTTTTTTTGAGAGGTTTTTGCTATAGGGCGCATGCGCTCATCAGACAGACAAAGAGAGACAGAGAGATAGAAAGCGAGAAGTCACCCCCCAGGGGGGATGGCCATGCCGCAACTCAATCCCTTCTCCTCCATTCTCCTCTCGGGATCTTGGGCACACACGCACATGCGCCTGGCGTGAGTTTTAAGCCACCGGGTCCGGGACGCGAACCGCAGTCGACTACATGGAAGTCCAGCAACATAGCCATTACGCTAATTGCTGGTCCCGGAACTCAGCATGTTTTTAAGCCGCCAGGCCCAGGATTCAAACTGTGGTCTGTTATATGGGATCTGGCTACCTTAACCACTACGCTAAAGGGCTGGTTCAGATTTGATTAATAATAAAGGAAGTCTCGGGGCCAGCAGGTGGCGGGGTGGTTAAGGTGTTGGACGCCCACGTGGTAGACCACGATTTGAGTCCTGGACCTGGCAGCTTGCTTTCCCACTTTTCTCACTCGTTTGCTATGGCAAGTGCATATGCCCTATGGAAAATAAAGCAATAATAAGGAAAGAAAATTGAATAATAACTGTTTCTAGAAAGAGTGAAGGAAGTCTTGCTGCTCATGGCAAAGCTATATACCTTCTGTCTCCTTTCCTTCGATGAAGCAACTCAGGTTTAGATGACGGTCCTGATACTCTTGTAACGTGGACAGTCTCTTGTCAATTTTGCCACACAGTGTAGAAGCACGATGAGCCACTGCGGAAGAAAGGAAGAGTGAGTTCCTGTTCTCTTTTATTTTTGAGAGGTTTTCGCTATAGGGTGTGTGCGCTCACCAGACAGACAGAGAGAGACATAGAGACAGAAAGCGAGAAATCACCCCCCAGGGGAGATGGTCATGCCGCAGTCCCTTCTCCTGCATTCTCCTTTCGGGATCTTGGGCACGCACGCACACGCGCCCGGCGTGAGTTTTAAGCCACAGAGGCCAGGACTCGACCCGCGGTCTACTACGTGGGAGTCCAGCAACATAGCCATTATGCCAACTGCTGGTCCCATACTCTTCTCATTTTTATCTTTCTTTTTTTGGAGAAGTTTTTGGCTATAGGACGCGTGTGCTCACCAGAAAGACAGAGAGAGATGCTGGACTCCCACATAGTCGGTGGCTTAAACTCACATTGGGTGCATGTGCGTGCATGCCCAAGATCCCGAGGGGGCAATAGAAGAGAAGGAATTGTAGCATGGCCATCCCCCATGGAGGGTAATTTCTCGCTTTCTATCTCTCTGTTTCTCTTTGCCTTTCTGGTAAGCCCACATGCTCTATAGCAAAATAAATAAATAAATAAATAAATAAATAAATAAATAA